AAATTTTTGCTTATATTGTTGTTTGACTTTACACTGACTGATGAATACAGGATGTATGCGTCACATTTTGATGATGCCAAAGGGAATGTATAATATATTCCACATTCCTCTTGGAATACTTCCATGTCAGCATATTCAAGTCTACCTTTCTTTTTTTTTTGTAAGAGATGAAGCAAACCAAGAAATCTTATATTTTAATCTCAGTTCATGTTTTTTTTCCTCATTTTTTTTATTAAAAAGTTTATTTTTACATCATTTTGCACATTTTTTTCCATCTCAATTGTAATCCCCGTGGGTTTCCCATCACCAAATCACCCCTGTGCCACCACCATAGTCCCGTGCATTTCCCTCAAGTCTACCTTTCTTTATAATCACCACTTAGCACTTCCCAAGATGCAGTACTCCTAAGACTCCATTATATAGATATAATTTAATGTCTTGGTATTTTTAATAGTCGTACAGACAATTGCATCAATCTTATTAATGACTTTTTAATTTGGGGTATAACCACAAAAGCTCTTTATAATCTCTGTTATGTCCCATATATAACTGAAGCATTCTTAACTACAATTCCAATAATCCACTCAATAGACTAGTATGCTGCCTTCTACACTCAATTTTTCTCTTGTTACCACTGACTGCCCTCAATTATTTATGAAAAACATTTTAGTTACATGACACATGTTGTTTAACAAAATCAGTTGTGTTTATTTGATAAATCTGTGTATGCAAAATTATTTCTCTGGACAGGATCCCATGGTGCCTACTGGCCCAGTCGTATTGTGCCTTCCACCCTTGCCAGTACTAGTTCTCTGGCTACTTCAGCAGGTGCCAAGGTGTCAATATGAATTCTATCCCTATTACAACCCATCAGAAATAAAAATAATTTAGAGACAGAATAACATACCACAAATGCTAGAAAAGGGGGTTACTAAGAGGAGCCTCAATCTTGCAGAACTATGGAATATGCTTGAAGAGAAGTTCCAAGTAACTGTTATAACGATGCGTATGGAAATAAAGAAAAACATAAGGGCCTCCCAGGTGGCTTAGCGATTAGGCTCTTAACACTACTAAGGCTATCAAGCAGTCACCAGCCACTGCTACATGAAGTTTGATCTCTGGCCAGGGAGGTGACCTACATGGGCACAGCAGATCTCTACAGTCTTGTCCACTGCTCCCCTCAGCAGTGTACTTTGTAAACCTGCCTGTTCTGCTCCCCAATCTGTCTCTGGTGAATCCTCGTACCATTTGCACCTCTGGCCTACACCCCAGTGCTTGTATGCATAAATAAGTAACTCCTAAAAAAAGACTGAGGCCATCCCTGGTGGCGCAACCAGTTAAAGCACAGCATTAAGAAGCTAAAGCCACTTCAACATGAGTTCGATCACCACCCGCCCTAGAGGTGACTCACATGACCCCGCAGACTTCTCCTGACCCACCTACTGCCCCCCTCAGCAGTGTACTTGGTTAGTCGGCCTGTTCTGCTCTCCACTCTGTCTCTGGTGAATCCTCTAGCCTGTACCCCAACCCCTGAACCTCTAGCCTGTACCCCAGCTCTGTATGCATAACTAAATCTTAAAAAAAAAAAAGACTGAGAAAATATTAGGCAGTTCCAATTAGAAGTAATGGAGCTGATGAATATATAAACACATTAAAAATTAAAACTGATGGCCTCAATAGTAGACAATGCCAGCAATGGAGAGAATGAGAGCTTATACAATGGGGAGAATCAGAAGTATAATGTCAAGGAACATAGAATAACATAGAGGAAACTAAAATTGCTCAAGAACAATTTTGGGACAACCTGAGAGCAGTAATCTGCATTATGGGATTCCAGAAAGAGAAAGGCATAGAAATGTTACTTAAAGAAATAATTGCTGAGAATCATCTCCACTTGAAAAATGAACTGGACACTGTGATCCAAGAGGCCCAAAAATTCCAAATGAAATAATGTTGGGGACCTCCCTGGTAGTGCAGCTGGGTGGAGCACAGCACTGAGAAGCTAAAGCCACTTCAGCATGCTTGGATCCCTGCCCCTGAGGAGGGCGCGGCAGACCTCTCCTGACCCACCCGCTGCTCCCCTCAGCAGTGTACTTCAGTGATCTGCCTGTTCTGCTCCTCACTCTGTTTCTGGTGAAGCATCTCACTGCCTCTGCACCTCTCACCTGTACCCCAGTTCTGTATGAATAAATAATGTTAAAAAATATATACCAAGTGCACTCTCTGATATGATGCCATAAAATCAAAAATCAACTATAAGGAAAAAAAACAGGAAAAATTATGACTACATGGAGATTTAAAAACTTGCTCCTTAATACCTATGGGATGAAAGAAAATTTTTAAAAATTTGAAAGTATCGTGAGACAAATGAAAATGAAGGTACAAGCTACTAGGGGATATGGGATGTAGCAAAAATTGTCTTACCAGTTAAGATAATTGCAACGTAGGCCCACACTAAGAAGCAAGAAAAATCCTTAATGAACAAGCTAATACTACACATACAGAAAAAGAGGAACAAAGAAAAACATAAGTTAATAAAGAAGGAAACAGTAAAAAATATCAAAAAGTCTATATAAAATACTAAAGAAATCAAACGTTGATTCTTTAAGAACTTAAATAAAATGGAGAATGCTCTAGTTATGCTAACATAGAAGAGAGCAGTGATGAACAAAAACATAAATGAGTAATTACTACAAATAGCTTAGAAATCCAAAAAGTCATAAAAGATTACCATGAACAACTATAGGGCAATAAATTTGATTACATTCATAAGTAAGTGAATTTCTAGATCAATATAGTCTATCAAGATTTACTCAGGAAGAAACATTAATTAAACAATCCACAATCACTAATAGTGAAGCAATGGAAAAATGTTTAGGACCAGATGGCTTCAAAAGTGAATTTTATCAAGCTTTTAAAGAAGAACTCATGCTGATCTTGCTCAAATTATTTTAAAAAGCACAGACAGAAGGCCTGCCTGGTAATACAAGGGGTTAAGTTGCAGCATTATGAAAAGTATCCAAAGTATCTAGCACTAGGGACTTCACTGGTGGCTCAGGGGTTCCCTATCAAACTAGCACCAACCTCTGCAGAGTGAGTTTGATCCAAGGCCAGGGAACTAACCCACATGGTGAGGTGGATTTCTGTCTTGCCCACTGCTCCTTTCAGCAGTGTACTTTGGTCAATCCCCTGTGCTGCTCCCCACTCTGTCTCTGGTGGGGCCTCTCTCCTCACCACCCCAACCACCAGGCTGTACCCTAGTTCTGGTATGCATAAATAAATAAATCTTTAAACAAAACACACACAGATAGAGGGAATCTTTTTAAATATACTTTATGATGCCAACATTACCCTAATACCAAAACCAGAAATTGATAGCTCAAGCAAAGACACTCATAGACCAGAACCTCTGATGAGTACTGATTGTAACATCTTCAAAGAAATACTAGTAAGTTGAATTCAACAGTGGATCGTGATAAGATTCAAAAACCATTTGTAATGAAAACTCTCAACAAGATGGGAACAGAAGGAACCTACTTCAATATATTAAAGGCCATATATCACAAACCAATAACCAATATAATATTTAATGGTGAAAACCAGAAATCCAACTCCGTCAGGTCAGAAACAAGACAAAGATGCTTGTTGTTTCCACTTCTGGTTAACTTAGTATTAGAGGTTTGGACAGAGTTACTAGGTAAAGACAAATACAGGGAAGTATTTTCCAAGTTGGAAAAGAAAGGAAACTATCACTATTTGTGGACAATATACTATTCCATATACAAAATAGTATGTTCTATATAGAAAATAGAAAACTCCACCAAAAAGTTACTGGAAACAATAAAGAGCAAAGTGACAGACAAAAATCAACATACAAAAATCTGTAGGAGTTCCCTGGCCACAGTTTGTTAAATAGTCATCTTTCCTCCTTCCCCTGCTTTATTTTTCTTAGCGGCACTTACCACATTTGAGACTTTTTAAAAATATATTTATTTATTTATTCATACAGAACTGGGGTGTAGGCCAGAGGTATGGGGGGTGAGCGGGTTCACCAGGGACAGAGTGGGAAGCAGAGAGGTATGGGGGGTGAGCGGGTTCACCAGGGACAGAGTGGGCAGATGGACTGAAATACACTGCTGGTGGTGGTGGGGGGGGGTGTAGCAGCAGGCGGGTCAGGACAGGTCCACCACACCATGTGTGTGGGCTCCCAGAGTGGGGACTTTCTGATTCTCAGCTTTGTTATCTATATTAGCTGAATTTTTATTTTTTTAAAGATTTATTTATTTATGCATACAGAACTGGGGTACAGGCCAGAGGTGCGGGGGCAGTGAGAGGATTCACCAGAGACAGAGTGGGGAGCAGAACAGGCAGATCTAAGTACACTGCTGGGTGGGGTGGGGGGGCAGGGGGCGAGTCAGAAGAGGTCTGCCGCGCCACGTGGGTCAGCTCCCTAGCCGGGGCCAGTGCGACAGAGGCTTCCCAGAGCTTCATAAAGCTGCGCTTTAACCCCTTGCGCCACCACGGAGAGCCCCAGGAGTTTTAGCAGTTTTTCTCCGCACCCCTTTCCCTTCCCCACATCCCCTTCCCTTCCCCACGCCCCCTTGCCTTTCTTCCCCCCTCCCACCCCCTAGAGAATGAAGTTCCTTTTACAGGAAAGCGATAAATATTTGTAGAATGTGTTAATTTCTAGAGCGAGAGGATGAAAGACTCCAGCAGCACCTGTCACGGAGTTTCCCCGTCAGGGTTAACCTTGGGCGTGCGCTCCCGAGGCGGACCGAAGTTTCAGAGCCGGGGTTGGCTTGGGCAGCGCCCCTTTAAACCAGCAGCGGACGCGCGGCAGCTTAGCTAGGCTGCTACGCCGGCCCCACCTGGCATTGCCCATTTAACCCTAGTTTAAGCCCAGCCGCGCGATTTCCGGGGCGGTGCCATCGCGCGTTTAAGAGCCGAGAGCCCGCCTTCGGTGGGCAGGGCTTACCGGCTTTAAGGGGCGGGCCGGCGGGCAGCAGGGGTCCTCCGTGGGATTGGCGCGGTGGGCGCTAGCCGCTGGCCGCCATTTCCTGACGTCCCTGGAGTCGCGGCCCCCTCCTCATTTTAGCGCTCCATTCGCCTTGGTCCCGCGCACCGTCGCCGCCGCGCCGCGGTCCCAGCCCAGGTAAGCGTGCGGCCCAGAGGCCCCGATCGCCCGCGCCCAGCTGCCTCCGCGCCCCACTTCTGTTGTGCTCTGCTCCCGGGACCCTCCTCGCTCGCCCCAGTGTCTGCGTACGCGGCCAGTGCTGTGGTCCCGTCTCGGAACCCTCTGGCCCCCACCCGGCCCTTCCCGGGTTGCAAAGTATCGGACCCGCTGAGAGGGGAGGGGCGGAGGTGACCAATGGGGCCGGCGGCGGAGTTTCAGCCGATACTGTGCAGCGAGCCGAGGGCGCAGCCGGTTAATGTGTGCGGTGACCCCGACCTCCAGCCCCCGCCCCAGCCGGCGTCCACAGCCGCCGGCGGGTGGGAGGAGCGGTGGGCGCTCTTCGCTGGAAGTCGTGGATTAGCCGCCCAGCTGGCGAGGTGGATGTGGCAGGTCGCTGAAGAACACCTACCTGAGTCTGTGTCTAGTAACGAGAAGGTCCGTGACTTTTCGGGCTGATTTGCATTTGAGAAAAAAGTCGAGTCGCTTGGAGGTCCCGAAAGTCAGGTGTGTTCCCAGGAATGGCGAGGTCCCTAGGGCCCTCCCTGCCCCGGTCCTTGTTTTGGGGCGTGTTAATGATGGGTTCTTTGCCCAGTAAACATTGTCAGTCTCATTAATTTACCTAGGAGCAAGAAGACCTAATTCTTTTAAACCGTTTGGCACCATTTAAAAGTAATATTAAAAGTCTTTTTAAAATTGGAGAAAAACTTACCTGTAATTCGCTAATGGTTCTGTTGCTGAACCCTGCCTAACATAGTGGGTGATTTGCATTTATAAGCGAATGTGCAGGGTTTTCTTTTTAGAGATAAACTTCGTTAGAAGACGTGTGTAACTTCAGTGGAATTATTCTCTTACCGAACATAATTCTGTATTGGGACGACTGGGGTTAAATATATTAATATCTTTATTATATTTGCTGTATTTTGGTATATTGCTTCATTAAAAGGCAGTTGCTGAAAGAAAAAGAAAATACCGGATGGTTACACTCATAGGAGGGTAGGGAACCAGAAAAAAAAAAAAAGCAATAGGAATAAAGAAAAAATGAAAAACAATGACCAGCTGTGAACCAGAGACATTTTATGGGGGTGGAGGTGGGGACTAGGATCAAAACTGGGGTGGGAAGAGCATATGGGACTGTGGTGATGGCGCACGGGTGAAGTGGTGGTGAGAAGTCCATGGGGATTACAACTGAGATGGAAAAATACACAGAATGAGGAACCATGTAAAAAAATAAATAAATAAAAAAGCAGTGGCTTGCCAAAGATTGTTGCCACCTGTCATCTATGAGAGTATGCACAGTTCATGACAAAAACTTCAGTTAATTTAGGTAGTAATTGGATTACTTGAATTTGCATTTCTGAGTGTGAGATTTTTCTCTTGTTTAGTACCTTGCTGAAAAATTTGAAATCAGATTAAAAACTTGTTTTTAAAAAAGAAACATAAAACTACCATCCAAAATCCCACCTGATTTAAATCTCAGATGAGTTCTATATTGTGCTAACAATACAGATTGTGCTAACAAGATTATAATGGTGAACAAGTCAGACTAAATATCTGTCCTAAATCTAAGTATGGTTAAAAGAAAGACAGTAATAACCCATGAGTATTTAATTGCAGTTTACTTAAATGTAGTAGGTAAAATTCTAATGGTACTAGGAGTCCTGGAATACTTTTGTGAGGAAAAGACATTTCACCCAGAAATCTGAAGTTAGCCATGTGAAGTGGGTGAGGGTTGGGAGAGGTGAAGTGGAAAAAAAAGTTCGAGAAAGATGGAACAAGTAATGATGCAGAAAAAGAAAAAAGACTTTGGGCTGAGCAGAGCGAGGAGTGAGTGTCCTGCTTCAAGAGTCAGGCAGGTAGGAGGAGTTGAATCTGGGAGCAAGGTCATTACAGAGTTTTAAACAGGGATCAGATTTGTGGTTGCTAAAAGTCCACTGCTGCTGCATGAAAAAAAAAAAAAGTGGGAGTTGGTGAAAAGAGTGAATATGGGGAAACTTTTTTAATAATAAAAAATTTAAGACTCTTAAGACAGTTCATACATTCTTGGAAGATTTAAAGTCCTCTTTATGACCCTCTACAGAGATGACCTCACTGCATGTTCTTTTTAGTCTGTGTGTGTGTGTGTGTGTGTGTGAGTGTGTATAAAAATGTCATTATGTCTGTATATGTATCCCACCTCAGTGTGAAATACTCATTTTTCTTTGATTTCATTTTTCACTTATAAGTCTTGTTTGCCAGTGTGTAGTTCAACTGTACTTTTAAAAAGCAGCAGTTCTGTATGCCTTTCACCTTCTTGATGGGCATATTGAAACTTAATTATACCCTGAAAATCCTTGTTTCTATAACTTGGACCACATGTAAGACTCATTGCAGAAGGAAAGGATATACTGATAGTGTGTCAAATTTGCCTCCAGACAAGACAGACTGTGTTCTTCCCATGGCCTTTTCAACCCTGGCTTTGTTGAGTCATTTCATTTTGGTTTTGTTTAATGATAAATATAATTTTATTTGTTAATTTGGATTTCCGTGGTTACTATTGAGGTTGAAAACCTTTGTTATATTTTCCTGGCTTATCTATCATCTTTTAGAACTTGTTTCTTCATACCTAGCCCATTTTTTTTTTCTGTTGGGTTTATCGTAACAATTTGTAATAGTTCTCTATTAAACTATATGCTCGTCTTTCAGATAAATTTCTTTGCTGAATAATTTTTAAAAGGGCTTCTCCCTAATTTGTTTCTTCTACTACTTTCTCATGTTTTTCATGTTAAATCTTGAAATTTATTTATGTGCTGGTTGTTTTCATATATTTGTGAAGAACTTGTTATTTGTGACATTAGACTTAATACAAAATATAAGTAATAAAAATCTAAGTATGAAAGAAGCTGTGGTTTTCCTTAGCAACTTAACTCTGTGTTGTTTCAAGGTGTAGAGTAAGGTCAAAGTCAGGCAACCTGTTTTATTTTTAATTTGTTGGATTCCTAGGAACCTCAGTGTGTGCATTTTTTCCCCACAAAGTTATTTATTTTTATTTATTTTTATTTTTTTAAAGATTTATTTATTTGTGCATACAGAACTGTGGTACAGGCCAGAGATGGAGAGGGTGAGAGGATTCACCAGAGACAGAGTGGGGTACAGAACAGGCAGATCAACAAAGTACACTGCTGAGGGGAGCAGCGGGCGGGTCAGGAGAGGTCTGCCACGCCATGTGGTCACCTCCGGGGCAAGCGGGAATCGAACTCATGCAGAAGTGGCTTTAGCTTTTCAGTGCTGTGCTTTAACCCGCTGCGCCACCAGGGAGGGCCCCACAAAGTTATTTTTTATGGAAAATTTTTAGCATATACAGAGTTAGTGAGAATAGTTTAATGAATGGTTTTATTCACCATTCCTCTTCAACAATTAATGGCTAATTAGCTAACCTGTTTATTTTAACTATCACTTAACTTCCTAGTTTTGTTTTGATGCAAGACAGTATATCACTTCTATAAATATTTCAACATGTATCTCTAAGAAGATAGACTTTTATTGAACATATCTTCAATACCACTATTTTATCTAAAAGAAAAATAACAGTAATTTCTTGGTTATTATAAACAGTCTTGTCAGTATTCAAGTATGTGTGTGTTTGTGTATGTTACTTCATTAGAATATTCACATGACAATTGTCATGGCTTTGCCAGTTAATCTAAGTGCATAGGACTATGCAAACTGGAAAAATGAGGATATAACCCTGAATTTAGAACTGTTAAATTATTTTTAACCCACTTAAGTTTAATTCACTTAATTGAATTCATTTAAACTTAATTTAGACTATTTACATATTTTAGCTTTTACCATGTTTACAGATGTCTCTAGTTTAAAATATCAACCAGATACATAAATTATAAGCGATGAACATGTGACTTCTTTTTAAAGCAAAAAATGTATTTGAAATAATTTTACAGAGAAATTAACAACAGTGTATAGTCTATATATCTTTCATCTAGCTTCTACAGTAACATCTGATAACTTAAGATTCATGTTATCTAAAATAGACCTACACATTTGATGCATTGATAAGTATTTTAAGCCTCCTGATTTGTTTGCTCTGTATCTTCCCCCCCCTTCTGATTTGTTTGTTAGAAATGTTAATTAAATTTAAATAAACTCATCATGTAGATTTTGTTTGTATTTTCACTAAACTTCTTGTTAGCTGTGATCATTGATAATTTCTTGTAATTAATATGTGGGTTTTAGATGAATGGTTCTATGATACAGCAAAGAGACCAAGATTTAGAGTCAGAAAATCAAAGTTTATGCCATCTTCACTATTTAATATTAGAATTGATCAAGGGTCTAATTTCTCTCATCCTTACTTTCTTCATCAAAATAAGACCATATTGGGAAATTTTTTCTACAGATCAAGTAAGAGTACTTAATAATTATGAACTATGTTGGATGGCTAGCAATTAAAAGTAGCAGGTGTGTCCTTAAGGGGTTACATAGTAAAGGGGAATGATTTGTTGGTGAATATTTAAAATCTGATTAGTAATGCAATTAAATTTTTTTCAAGGGTGGTGGAAGGGACTAATTCATTGGATATCAGCGTGTTTCTTGGGGTGATATTGGTGGCGTTCTCAAAAGGATTAAGTAGGGATTCTCTGACATACATGCTTTAGAAGCCTGGAATGAAAGTACGGCCTTTCATATTTCAGCAGAAATCAGACTGGTTAGCAAGGTGCAAAAGGAGCAGTGCTTGGGGAAAAAATACGTAGAGAGAAAGACTGGAGTCTGTTGTTATGTATGAGTGTTTTAGGAACTGAGAAGCTATCTAAAATATAGTTACTTCTTTACAGTGAACATAAAACTGACAGATTTGTTGGCTCTGCTGGTTTACTTTTGTGGGAATATCCATACATGTACTGTCTATATTTATAATGAATGCACAGTAATCTTCAGTTTTATAGTCACTTATTTTTTAGTGTGGTAATATTGCTCACTTGTACACTAGCTTTCATTTTTAATAAATTTATACCTTTATAAATTTGTCCAGGCTTCTTTTGAAAAATAACTCTCTGCTGAATTCTGCTCCCTCCTCAAGACACTTTTGCATTTTCAATAACTTGCTCTTATTGCTACTTCTTGATTTTTAGCTTTAGGAATTATCTGTTGAATACCTACCAGGCAAGATAAATTAACTTTCCTCTCTACACCTATTTCCTTTTTGCACTTCTTCTCACTCATAGTTACTATATAGTTTTGGTTAGATTACTAGTGTTTATGATGTTAGGACTAAACTATTAACTGATCATGTCGCCTACTGTGATTACTTCCCTTTTCTCTGGATAGTATATTTCTCCAAAATTAATAATCGTCTGTTTGTTGCCTTAGTTACATACACACCTGTTTTTCTTAAACTCTTTTAGTTGTGTGAATTAAACATTAGATTGGCAAGGTAATTTTTATCTATTTTTATTTTATGTGTGCTATATTTTAAAATTACTAATACACATTTTAACTAATTCTGATTATTCCTAATGTTCTTAATAGAAATAAGGGGAAATAATGTAAATAATTTGACATCATCAAGAAATATTTATATTAATCAGTAATTTAAAATCTGTAATGGAATATTTGATAAAGACTAATAATTAAATTATATTTGGGTTTCTTAACCAAAATAGGTGATTTTTAAAAATTTTAAAGCTCATTAAAGAAATAGAGCTGAGGATTGTTACAATCATCAAAAAATCCTTTAGTGTCTGACATCTCCTAATTTTGGGGAAGGAAAACACATAGAACTGATGTATGTAATTTGTTGACCAGAAGACCTGATGAAATTTGTTCGCCCTCTTACCAGATCAGTTTCTTATAAAATAGTTCAATAGGTTTTGAAATGCTCTGATCTGTAGCTGTCTTTTATGTAAAAGTTTAAAAACTTCTAAATAAAGTAGCCAGTTTTAATTTTTTTGGAACTTACTTGACCAGGAATCCTTTTTAATAAAATTTCTACTAATGGCTGTTAAGACTTTATATATAGACTACTAAGTAACATCATTTGTCTGGCTGCAAATTGTAGCAGAATATTCTGATATCTTTTTCTTTTTGGTTTTATAGTGACAAAAATGCTGAGCTTCTTCCGTAGAACGCTTGGGCGTCGGTCAATGCGAAAGCATGCTGAGAAGGAAAGACTACGAGAAGCTCAACGAGCTGCTATCCATATTCCTGCAGCTGGAGATTCTAAGTCTGTCATCACATGTCGGGTGTCCCTGCTGGATGGCACTGATGTTAGTGTAGACTTGCCGGTATGTAGGTCTTGCAAACCTGCAAATTGCTGTGGGCTAGTAAGAACCAGAGACTGTAAGATTACAGGTACATGGACCTTATTTAGGTACCTGGAATGATAGCATTTTTCTGGTATTAGTGGCAGTTATTTGAACGAGTAAAGTAATCAAACAGTTATTGATTATGCCATTTTTGTGTGTTCTGTGGATAATAGTACATAGTGTAGATAGTGGTTTTCTAACAATCTAACTAAAATATTTGGGAATAATGATAGTTAAAATGTAAGACTTTTCGTTCTCTATACTTTTCTGTATTTTTTAAAACGGTACTCACATTCCTCAATACAAAACAGTTTGTTGTGCTTGAAGAAATTTTATTTTTTTTCTTACTTGCAGAAATTTTAATGAAATGAAGTGAGAAAAACAATTTTCTTCAAACCTTTTGTCTCTGACTGCTTATGTCTTTGTTCCAAAGTAGTTTGCGGATAGATTTTTCTGTAATCTATTTTTTTTTTAAAGATTTATTTGTGCATACAGATGTATTTCTGGGTACAGGCCAGAAATGCAGGGGCGGTGAGTAGATTCACCAGAGGCAGAGTGGGGAGCAGAACAGGCTGATTGACAAGTACACTGCTGAGGGGAGCAGCGGGCGGGTCAGGAGAGGTCTGTGGCACCATGTGGTCACCTCCGGGGCAGGTGGGGATTGAACTCATGCAGAAGTGGCTTTAGCTTCTTATGCTGTGCTTTAACCTGCTGTGCCACCAGGGAGGGCCTTTTTCTGTAATCTTTTTTTTGCAGTTTGGAATAAATATAACTCACAGTGTGAAACAATCCATATATTTGAAAGAGGTTAACTTATTCCTTATAGGATTTTTTTTTAAGTGAGAGAAAGGGAAGGTAGCTTAGGTGTTAGGGGAGTAGTTTCTTTCTGAGTTATTTACTAAAATCTTTCTCATGTCTTTGTTCTACATTAAAAGATTTACATAACTAAGTTATTAAATGTGTGTTTTGTTGTAATCTACATAGGATTTTCTGCAGTATCTTCCATCCCATAAACTTTGAAAAAACTCATTTATCAAAAATGCAGTAAAAAAAAAGTGTGCACACGGTGATACTGCTATAATCTTATTTGAATTAATTCTGGAAGCTGAAATGTCTTAAATTCAGAGAAAGAGATTAAATAATGTATTAGTATGCTTATATGAATATTCTAATTAGGCTGTACTAGGTATGTACCTTCTACATTTTTAAATAGAATATAAAGTTAATCAAAGATACAGACTATCTTAAAGTGTTTTGAACTAAGAGTTTTATTACATTTGTCTTTAGGCTGCATCTTTTTTGTTGTTGTTGTTTTATTCTGGAAGACTAATGCATTTAAATTTTCTTGCTGTAAGAACTTTTTGAGGGTTTGTCAGAAATTCCAGTATGTGTTGTTTTGTGAGGATAGTATTCATACTCATTTCTTATGTGATAGGTAACTTAGGAGTTTTGTGTACTATTCCATTTAAAATACCATTACATATGTGGTGAAAAGTTTGAGATTGCAAGAGACCGGAAAGGAGTTTCTTATTACCTAATGTTTAAAGTATGAAGTCTCAAACTTGTTGATGGAGAGGCTGATACTTACAAAGTAGGATTTATTTGTAAAGGAGTGTTTTAGAAATGCAGTGTAGTGTGAAGGAAAAGCAGCAGTGGGTTTCAAAGTAGTGAACAAATGACTAATGACTGGTATGTAAAGGTTTCCTATGGTTGGTATGCTCTGTAGGGTGGATACAATGCTTGATCAGAGCTAGAAAGACTAGCTGGCCTCTCATGTAGACAGTTGCACTGAAAAAAAACAAGAGTTTTAGATTTTACTGTGAGATTACAACAACTGCCTTTCAACTCTGCAGGTGAAATCTTAGATTTTGTAAGTTAACTCTAGATGGTTTGCATGGATATAAAAAAAGGGGGGGGGATTGACCTGATAGCTAAGTAGCATGACTAAAGACAAAAAACAAAACAAAACATAAATCAGGCCAGAGGAGTATTAATTTCTAAAGAAAAAGTTTTTCTCTTTTTCTAATTTAGCTTCTCAACCACTCTTGTATGATTTTTCAAGATTTTGAACTGAATTTGGAATGCAGCACATTCTTATTTTCTTTTAGGATTAGGTCACTAGTGATCGTAATAAGCCAGCATTGAACTAAGATGATTGCCCAGGCAGCATATAAGGGATTACCTGTGACTATCTAGAGTAATTTAAATCTGTGCTCTTCAAATTAATACGTACCAGTAGTAATAGTAATTTTCTTCCTCATATTCTCTTCAGAATTGGTAGAGAGATTTAAATACGTATCACTCCTCCATCCCCCCCTTAAAAAAAAAAAAAACTAAACTAAAACTAAATACAATAAGGTTACCATTCAGTAAATGATAAACGGAGAAATTTCTGATTATTTCATTTTTAAATTTTCTTTTTGAAAACACTGCAGTAGTTCCTTAGTTGATTTACAAGCTGGATATTGTTTAGTAATATACCCTGCCCTATAAAACTCTGCTCCTAAGTTTTAAGTTAATCAAAAATATTTAGCTTGTCAATATGTAATTTTTGTGTATCTATTTCACTGATCTAAATGCTGAATGCTTATATAGCTATACTTTTAAATGAAGTTGAAGGTTTAACATCGTTAATAGCATACTCCAAACTGATCTGCAGATGCACCATAATACCTACCAGAATATCATCTAACTTAATTATGAAAATTGATAAGCTGATTTTAAAATTCATGTGCATTCCAAGGGATCAGCATAGTCAAAGCAGAACTGATGAATGATAAAGAACAGAGTAGTAGGACTTGAACTTCCCAGTTGAAAGACTTACTATAAAGTTATGGTAATCAAGATGATTTGCTTTTGGCACAAAGCTACACACATAGTGGGACAGAATAAAGAATTCAGAAATAAACTCATTCATTTATGGTCAGGTGATATTAGGCAGGGTGTTAGGACCATTTCAAATGGGAAAGAACCGTCTTTCAACAACTGGTGCTGGGAAAACTTTGATAACCACATACAAAAGAATGAAATGGGAACCTTACCTCATATCATATACAAAAATTAGTATTCTTAGAAGAAAATATAGAAATAAATCTTCATGACTGGATTTGACACCAAATTTCTTAGATATGACACCAAAAATATGAGTTGTAAGAAAAGTAAATTGTATTTTAAAATTTTATATGTGTGTTTCAAAGGGCACTATTAAGAAAGTGAGTAGATTCCCACAGGGTGGGAGAAAGTGTTTGTAAATTTTGTATCTGATAAATACTTAGATCTAGAGTTTTTGAATAACCAATATAACCAATCAATAAAATCAACCCAATTTAAAAATGGTGAAGAACCTGAATAGATACTTTTCCAGATATAGTGCACACATGACTAATGAAAAGACATGAAAAGATGCTTGACATCATTAGATAGCAAAAATGCAAATCAAAGCAATGAGCTACTATTTTACACCAAGCAGGAAAACTAACATAAAATTGTCAGATATTGGCATGTGTTGGTTAAGATGTGAACCTCCTGCTTTTTGGCAGGACTGTAGAGTAGTGCTAGTGCAAGGACTTTGAAAAACAATCTGGCTCTTCAAGTGATTAAACATAATTAATATGTGATCCAGCACTTCTATTTCTAAGTCTATACCTAAGAAAGCATGTATTTTTAAAAAAATATGTATGCAAATATTCATAGTAGCATTATTCTTAATAACCAAAGGATGGAAGCTCAGGAAATGTTTGTCAGCAGGTCAATAGATAAACCAAATGTATTATATTCATATAATGGGAGATTGTCCATAAAGGAAAAGAAGAACTGGTACATGTTACATTATGGAGAACTTCAAAACATTATGCAAGGCTAAAGAAGCCAGTCATAAAGACCATATATAATTTCATTTATTGAAAGCCCATTATAGAGAAATTTATAGAGGGTGAAATGTTGACAGTATTTTCTAGAACAGATGAATTCTCACTGAGCAGGAAGGGTGATTGGGGCAGTAGATAAAGGCACAATGTTACATTCTGAGGTGGTGAAAGTATTCTAAAATTGTGATGGCTATTCATATCTGAGTATATATCGAACTGTATACTGATAGTGGGTAAATGATATGCATGTGAATTTTATTTGAAATGGTTTCAAAAGGAGTACATGGATTTTTTGCATATTTGTATTTTATTCTACCTAGGGTTTGTTAGCAGTCAAGAAACTTGGTAAAAATTACACATAGGTTTATTTTAGAGGTGATTGGCCTGAATCATTAAAAATAAATAAATAAAAAGCAAACCTGGACACTGCTGCAGTTACAAATGATGGGGGTAGGGCTAATAGTGCAATAATATTACACTGGAAGGAATTCTTAATCATGAATAAGGTGAGGTTGGGAAAGTAAAGAGTAGAAATAAGTAGAATAGAGTTTTAACTCTGAAAAAAGGTGATATCCATTGGGTGGAAGATCATGAGATGGTAGTTGACATGGATGCTGGTGGTGGTGGCATGGAGCAAGTTGGGGGCTGCCAGTTACTAACTCTCCTGTGTTAGAGGCTTCTGTGTTGAGATCTTGCCCTATCTATCTCTTCATCTGGCTATTAACTCATGTTTTAATATCCTTTATAGTAGTCTGGCAATCTAGGAAATACACTAGTTTCCTGAATTATGTAAAATGTTCTAATATATCAGAACCTCTACTGAACCCCAAGTAAAGGTTCCTGGGAACCTAGTAAGAGCCACTTGGTCAGAAGCACTGCTAATACACTGGACGTAGGATTAGCATCTGAAGTGGTGGCAGTCTTATGGGACTGACCCCTTAACGTGTGGAATCTGATGCTATCTTCAGGTGGATAATGTCAGAATTGCCTGATATAGGTCATTCTCCTCAAAGAAACATGCTAATTGCTTAGTGATAGAGGAAAAGACCCACACCAGAAACTTACGTTTGAGATCTTAAGTAAAACTGGTGGGAGAAAACATAAGGAACATCTTCATAATGTTTGCTCTGGCAGTGATTTTTTGATCATGACCAAGAAAATAGAGGCAGAATAAAAGAAATATTTTGCATATAAATAAACATACAAGAATAAATTGGAACTCATAAAAATTAAAAGCCTGTGCATTAAATGATACTACTGTTGAGAGTAAGATAACCCACAAAATGAGAGAAAATATTTGCAAATTATTTTCATATCTATTTATGAGATTAAAGACTAATATAAAGAATATTTAAAAAAAACTACAACTCGGCAAAATAAACCAGTTCAAAGATAGGTAAAGAAGTTGAATAGACAATTCTGCAAAGAATACATGCAAATAGCCAGTAGGCATATAAAAATATACTCAACTAGGCTTTAGGGAAATGCAAATCAAAATCATGCCCATTAGGGTGATTAGTCAAAAACAAACAAAATTCCAGAAAATAACAAATGTCGGTAAGGATAGCAGTAGAGAAGTTGAAACCCAGTGCATTGCTGATAGGATTGTAAAATGGCACAACTACTACAGAAAACACTGGCATTTCCTCAAAGTTACACATGCTCTATTAAGTATACACCCAAGAATTGAAAGCAGGGATTCAGATACTTGTATAAATTCCATGGCAGCATTATTCACAAAAGGAGAAAACAGCCCAAATCATTAGGTGATGAGATAAACAGAATGGTATATTCATGTAATGATGGAATGCTGTTCAATTTTAAAAAGGAGTGAAATTTTGAAATCTACATTGATGAACATTGAAGACATTTTGCTAAGTGAAATAAGCTAGACACACACAAAAACAGACATTAGTTGATTCTGCTTATGTGAGTTAATGTAGAATAGACGTTTATTAGAGACAAAGTGGGGAAGAGGTTACCAAGGGGTTGGGAAGATAGCGTCTGTTCAATGGATTCAGACTTTCTGATTGGGATTGTAACAGGGTGGTCCCTAGGAAAAGGGAAAGCTCCAGGTTCCCTGCCTCACCCAGAAGGAGGGTGGAACTGAGCAGAGAAAAAAGAGAGAGGAGAAAGAATCTGAAGAGAGAAGAAGGAAGCAGGATGGAGAGCCAGAAGGAGCCCTGAAGAAGCCACATGGAGCAGCAAGCTTGTGATGAAGAAACTGTGCTTGTTTCTTGACCTTGGACTTGTTAAAGCAAATGTGGGTGAGATACCTATAGGGAGGTGACTATGGCAGTGTTTATATTTTTGCTCTTTTCCTCCCAGACTTGTCTGTCCATTTCTGACCCTTTTCTATGGGTACTGGCCAGAAGGTGCTTTAAGCTCGTGGTAGGCCTTTCTGGCCTTGCTTTGGGCCAATCCCTTTTGGGTTGACTTGCCCACAAGGAGATGGATAACTTCAGGTGTTTGATTTAGAAGCTAGATACTTTGTGTTCCATATTGTATATTCACTGCATTAAAAGTCCCTTTTCATTAAAATTTTATATGTTTTGTCTTGATGCAGCAGATGGCACAAGCCATTTAGAGCAGGCAGTTTGGGGGTTCAGTGGTGCCCTTCTCTCCCTGTCCTGTAACAGGATAATTGACAAAAGTCCATCTTGGGTAGTGGTGATGTTGCATATGTGAATATATTTAGTTGTGACTGCATTTAGTGGCATTGAATTTTAAGTTTGAAATGGTTAAAGTGGTAACATTTTTGTTATGTTAGAGAAATAATGGTTGATGCTTATGAAATAGGGTTAATTTATTATTTATTTATTATTTATTATTTATTATTTATTATTATTAATAGGGTTAATTTATTGGAAGTCTCTTTTGTGGTTAGAGACTAAATATTGGGAATAATTTTGTTGAAAAGTTAAAAGATGAGACTGGGATAAAAAGTTGGGGTCTGATTATTGATCTGAAAGGCGACTTGCCAGATAAAATCTAGGTGGGGTGTTATGTAATTCTTAGGAAAATTGAGCTTGGGAGATAGAGCAAGGTTCAAATTATAGTGTTATCAGGTTTTATTTTTTTATTTGTGTGATTTTTATCATAAACAGTCTCAGTTTTTATCTTTGTTATGTGTGGTAAATGAATAAATAAGCCACAATCATCAGGATTGATAGGGGTAGTAAGTGTATGTATATTTAAAAATATATATTGGAGGTGCCTGCACTCAGATAACAAAGTTAAAATGACAAAAATAAATGAGAAATAGTTGAGAAAATAATGGAGATTGGTTTCCCTGAATTAAAGCACTGAAAGATCTCTGATTGAAATGCAATATGTAATACCAACGATACAGTAGAGTTAAGGAAAACTCCTATCTGGACCTACTATCATGAAAGTTAGGATGGTCAGACTTTGAGAAAAATGTAAAATTTTGCTAATAACACTAATGAACAAGATTTAGATTGACATTATATTTTTTCAACAGTTTCATAGATTTAAGAAGATGTTAGAGTAATATATTTTGCTTATTGAAAATCACTTGGAACCTTGACTTTTATATCTAACTAATAATTAAAATATTCTTAAACATAGAAGACCTTTGAAGATAAGCCATGCAGAATCCCACTTAGGGGCCATATTGCAGGAAGAACTGAAAAGTGTGACGAACCAATGTAGCAGATGCTAGTAGATATGCATAATGTACACACTTAGAAGACATGGGCGAAGATTGATCAAATACTAAAGTAAGGATTGTCTTAAAAGTTACTCACAAGCAAAGAAAAGAAATACAACAAGTATGTGGTTGAAACATGATGAGTACTGGATAGAGGGCAATCAGACAGAGGCCATGGTAAAGTTTTTATCTTGATAAAGGGATAAATGGATAATTTTATTTATCAAAAAGGAAGGATGTAATGATGGATAACTTTTTATAACTACTTTGCTGATCTAATTCTGAAGTCTTAAATCTTTACACCTTTAAACAAAAAGCACAGGAAAAAAAGTTAAATAATAAAGTCAATTAAAAGTAGAGGTTAATGAGTAAATTAAAAACACGACCTAATGTATTCTCTATAAATATCTATAAGTGATTAAAAAAAAATACCCTAAGTCAGACTAAAAAATTTTAGGGGGAGGGAAATGGATGGGTACATATATTTATGTATTTGTAAAAATAACTTTCACCAAAAAAACCCACAAAAATTTGGTGAGTACCTTTGTTTTATGAGCTTTTACAAATCTCAATGTCTGATTTAATAGAACATACTTGATTCTTTTATCTGCTTTTGCATTCACTTTGTTGCATTGTGTTGGTTTGGTTGAACTTCATGAAGAGAATTCTAAGGCATTGTGGGTCTTTTGCAAGGATCTAGAGAATGCTCAAGGGCTTAAAGACATTTACTTTGAGGGCTATTTTTTTTTAATATATAAATTTATTTGCTAGTTTCTACTCCCTTCAGTTTTATATCTTCAGCACTGATGACAGCAGTTTTCTCATTTCTCATACTCCCTCCCACCTTCCATTTTTGATTGTTCTATTTCCTATCTTATATTCTTAGCCAGTTTAAGTATCTTCTCGAGCTGCATTCCCATGATCACTCATTTCTGTGAATGTCTCTTCTGTAAAATGTGTTGTCAACTGTAGTTTCATATGATTTGTATTTAGATGTTCTGTTTTCTCTTTCCAGTTATATTATACAACTTTAAAAAATAGGGACTCTAAAATTTACATAACAAAAGAAGAGTTACTCCTTAGATGTACAATGTAATATTTGTTGACTGATAGGAAGTGATATTCTCAAGGAAATCACCTATAGGTCCAACTTCTCTTTTGACTTTATGTGTTTGGTGTTTTTTTGAAATTTACAGTATCTTACCCATAATCTGTAAGTAGTGATAAGTAGTAATACATTCGTTATTGTGTTTCTAAGAGTTCTTGCATAATTAAAACGCCTTCAGTTCAGACTTCTTAATCTTATAAGGTACTTACTGATTAGCTTATTTTCTTACTATTTCAGAAAAAAGCCAAAGGACAAGAGCTGTTTGATCAGATTATGTACCACCTGGACCTTATTGAAAGTGACTATTTTGGACTGAGATTTATGGATTCAGCTCAAGTAGCAGTAAGTAGCTACCATTATGGGGGCAGACATGGAAGATTTGAGATAATGAGTAAGTGCTGTGAGGCTACATATTCTTGACACTTTGTTTTTCTCCTGTGATTTTCTTATGTCCTGAAGCATTGATCCCTTGATTCACAATCCTCTGATGTGCTTAGAAAAAAAAAGTGAGTTCTGCCCCTAACCCAGATTACTAGAGTATGATTTTTGTGAGTGAATATTGAAGTCCATCTTTTTAATAACTACTGGCTCTATTTGAGAGCTGCTGTGTACTGGAAAGAATGCTAGAATGAGAATTTTGTAGGCTCTTTGGTAAATAAAATAGAAGTTTCTAATTTGCAAGTTAGTGTAAGTAGGGTATATTAACATACTTTCTAGATCTGTGATTCTGATTTTATAACTTTTTTTACTTGCACAGTTCAGATGAGCGAATAGCATTTATGATAGTATAGGAAGTTGGAAGCTTTGGAAGATTTTCAAAGAATAATAGTTCTCACTGTTTTAGGAATGTCTGTGTGTGAGAGAAATTAATAAATAAACTGGAGTACCTCTGTATTTCTAAACATCCACATCCTTTGGAGATGAACACCATATTTGGTTTTATGGAGTATCTTGTCTAGCTTATACCTGATAATGTTGACTGTCAATATTTTTCCTGTGCCTGATACCACCTTCTACTTAAAAAGAAAAAAAAAAAAAAAAGCATGAGCATTTAGTGGCAAAGTGTTTTCTATGTAAATTTGGGAATATCCTTACAATGGGATACTTTGTAGCTAGTTAAAAATGGTGATTTTTAAGTGTAATTACTAATTGGAATATGTGATATAAATAGTGATAAAGTGTTACAAAGCAGTGTTAATTAAATTTTTCTCATCAATAATCATTCTAAATAAATGGTTTGAACTCACCAATTCTAAGGTGCATAATTGGTTAAAAAGCAGGAGCAATCTATACTTAGCATACAAGAGACACACTCAAAACCTAATACAAACACAAACGTAAAAGTTGCAGCATGCTGCTTCAAGCCACTGACACGGAAAAAGTAGGAACTGCTTTTCTCCTATCTGATAAATCAGACTCTCAGCCAAAAAAGTAATAAGGGACAAACACAGGTACTAAATGATAACCAAGGAAATAATTCACCAAGCAGATAAAACTGTCATCAGTAGTTATGCATCAGGTGTTCCAAATTATATAAAACAGCTATTAATAGACATAAAACAACACATGGATAGCACTAACAGTTGGAAACTTTAATATACCATTTACATCAGTAGTTAGATCATCCTGACAGAGTTCATGGGAATAAAGGGAATAATGGCCTTAAATGAGGTGTGAAAACAGATGGACTCTGTGGTTATTTACAGAATTTTTCATACCAAAAGAAATGAGCACACATTCTTCTTAAGTGTACATGGAATATTCTCAAGGATAGTCCATGTACTAGAACACAAAATATGTCTAAAAACACATGAAAATAGGGCCCTTCCTCGTGGTGCAGCAGGTGAAAGCACAGCACTAAGAAACTAAAGCCACTTCCACGAGTTCGATTCCCGCCTGCCTGGGAAGTGACCACATGGCGTGGCAGACCTCTCCTGACCTGCCCACTGCTCCCCTAACCAGTGTTCTTCGTCGATCTGCCTGTTCTGCTCCCCACTCTGTCCTTGGTGAAGCCTCTTGCCGCCCCTGAGCCTCTGGCCTGTCCCCTGTTCTGTATGCACAAATAAATCTTTAATAAAAAAAGAAAATATATCACACCAAACATTCTTTGTTTACCATGATAGGAAACTAGAAATCAACCGCAAAAGGAAACTAAGGGTAAAAATGAAACATGCAGATGAAACAAAAAGCTTTTAAATAATTCTGGGTCAGTGAAGACACCAAAGGAGTAATGAAATGCTATCTGAAGACCAATGAAAATGAAGAGCCAAGCTACTAGATCCTATTAAATTAAAAGCTCTACTAAAAGGGAAGTTGCATAACAGTACTGGCCCACATCAAGAAGCAAGAAAAACCTCAACTAGATAAAGAACAAGTAAAACCAAAAAAACCATTAGAAGGATGAAAAATTAGAGTGGGAATAAATAGCTCAAAAGATCAATGAAACCAAGAGCTGGTTCTTAGAAAGGACAAACAGAAGTGATAAACACTTAGCTACACTCACCAAAAAAGGGAGAAAACACAGATAAAAGAATCAGAAATGAAAGAGGTTGCAGAAATACAAAGGCTCATAAGAAGCTATGACTTTTTTTTTTTTAATTTATTCATACAGAACTGGGGTACAGGCCAGAGATGCGGAGGGTGAGAGGATTCACCAGGGACAGAGTGGGGAGCAGAACAGGCAGACCAACGAAGTACACTGCTGAGTGGAGCAGCGGGGGCAGGTCAGGAGAGGTCTGCCCCGCCATGTGGTCACCTCTGGGGCAGGCAGGAATGGAACTCATGTGGAAGTGGCTTAAGCTGCTTATTAGTTCAGTGCTTTAACCCGCTGCAGGGCCCATGACTTCTTTATGCAAACAAATTTGACAATCTAAAGAAATTTCAATTTTTTTAGTATCCTACAACCTTCCAAGACCAAGTCAGTATGAAATAGATAACTTATCTAGAACAATTACAAGCATAAGAATTGAAAGAGCAATCAGGGGCCCTCCCTGGTTCTGTATGAATAAATTAGTAAATCTTTTTTAAAAAAAGAGCAATCAGAAGTCTCCCTAAGAACAAAAACCAGGACCATATTGCTTCTCAAGGGCATTATTTATTTTTTTTAAGATTTATTTATTTATGCTTACAGAACTTGGGGTACAGGCCAGAGGTGTAGTGGGTGAGAGGATTCACCAGAGACAGTGTGGGGAGCAGAACATGCAGATTGACAAAGTACACTGCTGAGGGGAGCAGAGCTCGCACATCAGGAGAGGTCTACCGTGCCATGTGGGTCAGCTACCTGGCCGGGAATTGAACTCGTTCCGCAGTGGCTTCAGAGAGCTTCGTAATGCAGTGCTTTAACCTGACGAGGGAGAGTCCTCAAGGGAATTCTACCAAACCTTCAAAGAGTATATAATAGGCATCCTTCTCAAACTTTTTAAAACAATGAAGAGGGGGGAAATCTGCCAAATAATTTTTATGAGGTCACTATTACCTTGGTGTCAAAACCAAGCAAAGTGTACAAAACGAAAACTATAGACCAGTATTCTGATGAACATAACTACAAAAATCCTCAGCAAAATCTTAGAAAATGAAATCTAACATTATATTAAGAGGATCATCCATCATGATCAAGTAGTATCCATTCTAAGGATGCAAGGTTGGTTCAACATTTGCAGATCAACCATTTTAAAATCACCCATCTTATAGACTGTGAGATGAGATAGGCACATCATACAGGACAAGGGGTTATTTTCCAAAATATATAAAGAATCCATATAACTCAACTATAAAAATCAACCCAATCAAAAAAAAATGAGCAAAAGATCTAATGTTTCTCAAAGGCGAAAAAGAAATTTAGATACTGTTTCTTTTAAAGAGTCAAAAGTTGTCCTTGCTTTGGCAGCACATCTACTAAAATAGAATTACAGAAAAGATTACACTGCCTCTTGCACAAATGATGTGGTATAGAAACACAGTAAAATATCATTCAACCACCAAAAAGGTAAACGCATGCCATTTGCAGCAACATGGATGGAGCTGAAAGGAATTATGCTCAGTGAAATAAGTCAGAAGGAAAAAGGTAAATATAAAATGGTTTGTGGGGAATCAATCAGATAATGTAAACATAAAATATGTAACAGAGAAAGATACATAAAAAGTCTTTGGTACTCAGGATTTGGAGAAAAATTAATAGCTATGACACTAAAAGTATGATTTTTTTTTTTTCAAAATGGTAAGATTGATTTTATCAAAATTAAAAACTTGCTCGGGGCAAGACCCTATTAAGAGGAAAGGAAGTTAGTAATCTATAGACTGGGGGGAGAGGAGGGAATATATGCAAACCATGTATCTGATGAAGAACTCAGCTGTTGTATGTTAAAAGCTCTTAAACAGGAAACAAAAAATCCAATTAGGAAGTGGACGAAAGACTTGAGACTTTTTGATACACAGATAGCAAATAAATATAGGAAAAGATGTTAAATATCACTAACTATCAGAGAAATGCAAGTTAGGACCTAATGACATGCCATCACTGCACATCTTTTAGAACAGCTAAAATTAAAACTATTATTTACAATTGCAAGTTATGATGAAGATATGGAGAAGCTGGGTTTTTCATACTGTGGTATTAGGAATGTAAAAATGGTACAGTTACTCTGGAAAATAGTTTGACATTTTAAAAACATTAAACATTCATTTACCATATAATTCAATAATTGTAAGAGTGGTCTTTATCCCAGAGAAATGAAGATCTATTTCTTCATAAAATCTTGTGCCTGATTATTTATCACAATTTTATTTGTATGAAAAACCTACAATGGCATACAGTGGGGTAATGATTAAACTGTGGCACCATACCATAAAATACTATTCACCAATAAAAAGAACAGTCTATTGATAACACCAAATTTAGATGGCGTCAAGGGCATTATGCTGAGTGGAAAAGTCACTCTCAAAATGACATTCTATGCCTTCATTTCTACAGCATTCTTTAAATGACAAAATTATAGTGAAAAAATTTGGTTGCGAAGTTTTAAGGTACATAGGTGTGACTAAAAGAATAATATGAGAGAGCTCTTTGTAATAATGGAATATTACTGATTTTGATCATAATTATAGGAATCTAAACCTGTTATAAAATGGCATTGAATTATATATACACCTTGTACCAAAACAAGGTACAAGTTTTGTGATTTTAAAATTATAGCTATGTAAAATGTAAGTCTTGAAGGAAGGTGAATGAAGGGTACATGTGAACTCTGCTGTTACTGCAACTTCCTGTGACTAATAATAAAATTCTTTATAAAAGAAAATTATTGTTGTAGGTTAAGCAAAATGTATCTTACAGCTAAGATTTA